AAACCTTCCCCCCCCCCCCCCCCCCCCTTGGCATAAGGCAGAGCTGCAAGACAAGAGTGGTGGCAAGGAGGCCCTTGGATCCGATCAACGACGATCCAACACTCCTCCGCAACGCCCAGCCAGGCGCCATGCCGACCCAGTTTCAAGCTCCAACGACGTCCATCCGCTCCGCTCGCTAGTGCCCCATGAGTTCTGCTCCCATCAGCCCTTGTGACCTCCACTCGCCACTCACTTACGTCATACTCCGAGGTTGCCGTGCGAACAGCAGCGTTGCACTGCAACTGATACGATAGTGTGTATAAGCTTACACTTGCTTCTATTTAATCTGACAATCGTGATGCTATTGTCAGCATGGTATGCGGATGTCAGACTTTTCTAACTGACGCATGGCTGAAGACGAAGGCAGTGACGGTTTGAGAACCGAAAGCGCACTCTGAATTTTTTTTTTTTTTTTTTTGCTGTCTGGTGGTGTCGGTGTGTGGAAGGAAAGGGGTTGAGACGGACAGGAGTGAGGCCGGGTTTTGGGGGTGGGAGGGGAGGGGAGACGCGAAGAGGACGAGAGACCACTGTGTGTTCTTGGGCTGGCTCTTTTTTGGAGCCGGGTGGGAGGTGTGGGAGGGGCGACGCGCTCGAGTGGTGTTTGCTCAATTGCAGGCATGTGGCGCCGAGTGACCCAGCAGCCGCAGCAGCTTATGCTGTTGCGGGGCGAGCCGAGTTTGGCATGGCGTGGGCGCATGCGTGAGGCACTATTGAACCATGTCCGGACCAAGAGTGACAAGCGGTCTGGAATGAATGAAACGCTTGCCAAGCCTGCCGCTAGCTCAAGCGCAAAGTCTGCCACCGCCTCGACACCAGCGGCAGCCACGACAATCATTTTTACCGATGTGGCTACCGATTCGGCTCACAAGCCGCACAACAGCGATTTGGTGCCGCAACCGACCACTGACGCCATCTCACGGCTGGGCCGCATTGCCATGCGAGTGCGCTCGGACCATCGTGGATCTCGACGTACGCCAGTCGCCGCCTCGCTCTCGCATGCACTTGCCCAGTGCCGTGTGTTGCCGCACGCGTCGAAAGTATCTCACCGCTGGCTGGTTCTTTCCCCTCACGCTCTCGCGCATCTTGTGGCTCAAACGCTGGTACATGTGCACGTGACATTCGCTGCCTACATCTGGAATGGCCCTGTTCTAACAATCTGCAGCTCGCCGTGAGCGCCGCCGTATCGTGGCTCCGACTGGTTTGTACTTGCTACCCCTGCAAAAGCCCAAGCCCATGGGAAGGACGAAGAGTACAGTCAGGCTTGTCAGTGAAGCAAGCGGTGGACAGTTTTGGCTGGCTGCCTGAGCGGCAGGATCGCCTAGCCCAATGCTGGCCAGCTGAGGCACGTCGCGCTGGCAAAGTGGCCCTCATCAAGCTCATGCCATGCTATTTGCAATGGATAGCAACCACAAACTCCTTCTTCACCCAATCGGACGACCTTTGCGAGGAACCCGTCGAAGCAGCCTCCGCCACGGCGCCGCTAGCTGAGACAAGCATCCTCGAACCCAGCCGGCGTCACACGTCCGCGCACCGCGCCAAAGCGCATCCCTTGCATCGAGGTTTGTCGCGGAACCTCTCACACAGAGACCGCCCAGCCTAGTAGTGAGCTAAAACACATACGTCTGATGCACGACCCATGTCAAAGGCCACCCCGTCCCTCGAACCTCTACGGCGATACATGCAACCACTGTGGCCAGTACGACAGGCCCACGCCGCACATTTGGTTGGTATCGTCATCCCGACCCCGACCTGCACCCTAACCTGCTTGCGCCCGGCCCTCATTTTGAGTCGCCGGCCTACTTTGGCTCGGTGGTGACAATGCGGCTTAGGCGAAAAAGATACGCATGTCATCCAAACGCCGCAGGATGAGACAGTGCCGGCTCCGGTGAGTAGCCGCCCGGCGACCTCTTGCTTTTTTTTTTTTTTTTTTTTTTTTTTCGCATCAGTTTATTCCCTCTGCTGACCTGGCGTGTGGCCTTCTAGCACCACCGCTCGACTGGTGCCCCCGCCAAACCACCAGTCGAAGCAGAGAAGCCCGCTACAGCCGTTGCTAGCGAGACGCTACCGCGCCAACAGCGAGATCCTGACAAGGTCAGAGCTGTGCTTTTTGGCTTGTTATTCCAACAACCCCATCCTTTCTCCCCACCGCGCATTTGGCATCGGCCCCTCAACCGCCTCGCGGCGTGACTCCCCAGATTGATCTGGTCGATCTAGAGACCCAGATCCCAGAGGATTGGTCGCGCATTCGTGATGCCAACCGAGCATTGCGTATGGCCATTCCCACCAAACTCAATCAACAGCAACCTGCCTCCACTCAGGTATAGCCGGTACTTTTGGCCCAGCAATGCTGACAAGAAGCACTCACGCCGTCATGATGATCCTCGGTTGTGTAGACCACTCTGATGTTGTCCTTGCTGGGCAATCTGACCATTGCGGGCGCCAAATTTTACGCCTACTCGCGCACGGGCCACTCGGCCATGTTTTCCGAAGCCGTGCACACGCTTGTGGACGTTGGAAACCAGGCCATTCTGGGCTGGGGTCTACGAGAAGCGGAGCGCTCTCCCGATCGTAGCTATCAGTACGGCTATGGTCGTGCTGCATTCTTCTATTCTTTGCTCACAGCGCTTAGCACCTTTGGCTTTGGTGCCATGTACACGTTCTATCAGGTACCAGCAATACCTCGGGCCTCGGGCGCTACCGTATTACCTTTCAAGCACAGCGACGCCGACCGCACTTATCAAATCTTATGGTCGTTCATCACTCCTGCCTTTGATGTTCTAGGGAACAACGGTGCTTCTTGCCCCGCCTGAAGAGCTGCAAACGTTACCCGAGACTTGGGCTATCCTTGGTATGCTTGGGTGGGCATGGCCCAGCCTGAACCACTCGCTGAGCTCGACCATGCTTTTGAATGGAAGCGAAGAAGCATGCGATCGCAGACCGCCCTGACCCACGATTGATGCGTGTACTGTTTCCATGCCTCAGGAGCCGGACTGCTCGTGGATGGCTTTGTGCTCAAGACAGCCCTTAAGAACACCCGCGAGCGCGCCCAAGCTGCAAGTACGATTAACTTTGCAGAGCGCTTTAACAATCTGTCACCCACAACATGAGCAGGAACGCGAGATGCCAACGCCTGCTCCTTTGCTCCCCTCTGTGATCTAGACATGACCGTCAAGCAGTGGATTCTATCGTTCAAGGACCCTTTTACAGTTGCCGTGGTCTTTGAGGACAGCGCAGCCGTTGGAGGTGTTTTGATTGCCGCGCTCGGCATTGGCCTTACCCAAGTATGTGGGGTGCCTTGTGCTCCTGGTTACACCATTTGTGCCCATAGCTCACCCCTTGTGGCTCTTACTGATACTAGGCCACCGGCAATCCAGTGTACGATGGCATCGCCACGCTGTGCATCAGCGGACTTTTGGGCACGGTGGCCATCAAGCTGATTCAACTCAACCACAGCTTTATTCTGGGTCGAGTGCGTCTAGCGACGAAGCTGTTCTTGGCATTTCCTTTCACCGGGTGCACCGCTACCAACTGATGCTGGCATGCCTGCGCTCGCCGCCCCGCTTTGGAGCGCAGAAGTTGGATGATGACGTTGCCAAGGCCGTGCGTCGCATGATCAAGCGTCGGGTATCGGTTGATGAGGTGCACTCGGAACAGAGCCAGTGGATGGGTGCCGCGACCTTTTCCTACAAAGTATGAGATACTCTCTCATTTACACCTGGTGGGCGATGCAATACCCCAATATTCATCTCAGTGAGCTTCCCCTCAACTGCCTGCATTTCCTAGGCTGAGGTTGACTTTGATGGCACTTGGCTGGCTGCCCAGGTAAGGCGAGCCACTGTTCCATTAAGTGATGGCTTTGCTATTGTCCCCGTGAAGGCGCTCACAGGCCCTGGGTGTGCTGTTTGGCACGTCCTTGGCGCGTATTGTAGCTCTTCCAGCAGTATGAGGATGCCTTCATGTCGTCCTTTGCGGAAGGGGAGGACGGCTTTCGCAAGGTCAGCCGGGCCCACGGGTCTGGGCGATTGCATGGCGTGTGGTACATTCGCCGTGCCAAGCGTTGATCTCGCCTTACGTCCGACTGGTGATTTTTGTGTGCTCCTTGTTTATATCAACAGGCTTTGACCTGGCTGTTGCCTGCATTTGCGGAGGACTTGACGCGCGTGCTTGAGCGCGAAGTCAGAGACATTCAGGTTGGACCTGCTGCCTTGCATGGCAATGTCTGTTGATTTCATACTGATGCACGTGTACGTTGTTTTTTTTTTTTCTGTGCAATGTACGCAGGCTGAGATTCGCCAGGCGCACCCTGAGGCGGCGTACGTGGAAATTGTTCCAGATAGCTCTCAAAACACATTATCAGCGCTCAAGGCTATGCTGCAGCGCAAGCTAACGCGTCAGGCCGAAGAGCTTCAGGTTGGTTTGACGCGGGTTTCCCCATTTTCTGGGCTTGATTTGCTCGGTTTGCTGCAACTCTCGTCATGCTCTGGTTTTCACTCGGCTTGGGCGTTAGTTGCAAACTATGCTGGCCACGTCGGCAGATCTGCATCCGGGCGAGGCTTCGTCCACCTCCATCCATGCAGAGTACTTCAAGCTGGGCAGGTTCGAGGGCCACGGCTGCATGAGACCCGGTCTTCCTTAAAGTCGCAGCTCACGCATCACTCTGTCTCTGCGCCATGGACTTTTGGTGCGAATAGCGTTTATGTCTCCATGGGCCAGTTTGAAAAGGCCATTCCCCAGTTTCAGACCTGTCTGCGCCACCGTGAAATCATGTCAGGTACGGACCGTGTTCTTTCTTCATTTCCTTCTGGGCCTGCCATCTGATGTCTTCGAGTCCCCAGATGGAGATGCGTATCGTATGCTTGACCTGCCCGCACCTCCTTTTGCGCGCACAGGTGCCGACAGCATTCCCGTTGCGGCCGTACTGGATCGTCTTGCGCGCTGTTATCTGGTCCTTGGCGATACCGGCAAGGCCGCCAACGTCATCAATCGCAGCCGCAATATCCTGGCCTCTATCAAGTGGGCTGATGCTACCTTGGCCGAGAAGAATTTGTGTACGTTGAATTTGCCTGCCAACTTCATGTCGTGACGACTCAGCTGCACACAGTCAAGCCTACAACAAGCCGTGCGTGCCATGCCCTTTGGCTCACGTGTCTGCCGTGTACCTTGATGGGCATAGTGGCGTCGCTCAAGACGCACCAAGGCTTACTGTACCGTGACCAAGGCCAGGCCATCCGGGCCATGACACACCTGGAGGAAGCCTTGCGGTTGCGGTGGGTTTCACAACCATCTCTGCTCCTCCGTGCCCCGTGAGGAACGAGCTGATGTTGATCATGTTGGACTATGGGCATAGCTTGGAACTTTTGGGCGATGCCAACCATCAGACTGTGCTAGACTTGCGCTTTACTCTTGGTGAACTCTACACGACCATGCCGGCGGTACGGCTGCTGCTCATGCCGCTGTTTGTTGTTGTTGTTGTTGTTGTTGCTGCTGCTACTGCTGTCGTTGCTGCTGCTGAAGGAGAGATACACAATGCGAGCTGCGCGATGACGAGACTCACGCACTTACACCAAATTGTAGAAACGCATCAAGGCCGTGCAGAACTTTCAGCAAGTCATCGAGGGCCGTCGTATCAAGTTTGGTAACAACAGCTTGCGAGGTGAGCCAAAGTTTTGTCTATGAGTCATGCATGAAGACTTTCTCCTCCCACTTGTAATGTCGTGCTTGCTTGGACCAAAAGAAAGGAGGGTACTCCTGTACTTTTTCTCACATTGGGATGGCTGTCAATCTTCTCGATTGCGGTTCTTTAGTGGCGTATACCTATGATAAGCTGGCCAAAGTACTTGCCTTGTCGAACCAGCGTTTTGAGGCAATGCAGGCCTTGGAGGAAGCAGCAGCCATCAAGGCTCAGCAGGCTGGCAGCCGCCTAGTGGACCTGGAACTGAGTGATACGCTGTACAATTTGGGCAACCTACAGCTGAAGGACGTAAGCTTTTGCAGAGAGCAAGTCTGTGGCTGAACATGAGCATTGGACCTCACCAAACGCATCTCACGTGTCGCAATTTCTACCCTTTGTTCTTTTGGTGTACAGCGCAAGTTTCACGAAGCCATGCTCAATTTTGAAAAGGTGGTGCAACTCAGGTTTGTAAATATGGCGCCCGCCTTGACCCATGATGCTTGGAGGTACCGGTGCGGTCGCCCTGACCGAAATTGGGCATTTTGCCTGCCTTGGTTGTTCGTAGGCGTGAGCATGGCTATTCCCTGCGAAGCACGGAAATGGCGCCGGTTCTGTATAAATTGGTGTTTGTGTACCACCGCTTGGGCCGACCCATGCCCGAGGAATGGAAAGAGTAATCTGGTCCTGCAACATGGGCAGGGTGTTGGAGGGAGTTATCCCCATCCTTTGTTGAGCACAAGCGAGGTCTGGCCTTGCTCTGACGCAAGCGGTGGCCAAGCCACCGAGCTTTTATTATTTCTCACAGGCCAGAAATTGAGTTTGCGGCTGGATACAGCGGTCTTTGGGGGCTGCAAGACTCGAATGCTGATTTTCTCGAACGTTGTTAGTCAGTGCGCCAATGCACTCTGTATGTATTGGGCATCTTCTTCTCAGAACCGGGTGTGGCCATGATGATGGTGAGCTGGAAAAGTCAATTATCATTACAGGAGTTGAACCGAGTCAAGATCAGCTAGGTTGATGGGCCGGGACGGCATCACTGATCTTTGAGGCTGAGTCCAGCGGTGCGCCCGCTCTTTCGGCGCGCGGCTCGGCCAAAATCGCGCCCAAATTCGGTTTGAGGGGCCTTGGCACCGACACTAAAGACAGAATAGGGGCAAGCAAGAGGCAATGTGAGAGGCACGGCCTGTGCAAGGGCGGACAGGAGGTTGTCTACAAAGCAACGCAGCTATGCACTGACCGATCATCGAACCGCGTTGTGATGCGCGCAGCTCCGGCTTTGCGACCCCTACAGGTTCACACGAATCGAGGTGAGAACAGTCTGCAGTGTCCAATGGACGGTGGAGGTGTGGATAGTACCGGGATTCTGCCGCAATCTCGCGCTGCATGCGGATGAGTCGCTCAGACATGGCGTCAAGTCCTTGCTCGGTGCGTCGAAGGCCTGTGGTCAGATCTTCAGAAGCACCGGCCTTGGCGGCAAAGCGCGATCCTCGGCGCCCGCGCGGGCCAAGCACCGACCGTTGGGCGTGAGCTTCCTTGAGGCGTGCCTTTTGCTAGAAGGAAGAAGAACAAAGCAGGGCCCATCGAAACATGGTGAGAGAGAAACAGCCTGACACGGACCGAAGCGGGAGCGCTTACCTTGTACAGATTATAGAGCAGTACCAAGACGCCGAGGCCTACGAGCACGAGGATGGTCGACGGGCTGTTGCGTCTAGAGCCCGAGAACCCAGGGTGGGTAAGTCTCGGACAGACGGCATATTGCAAGTGGAAACAGTCGCTAGCAACAGCGCAGGGTAGTGGGCGTACCGACGAGAACGGCGCAGGCGGCGCACACCTTGGCGCATGGGCCCAATGAAGCTGGCACTGCGCTCGAAACGCACATAGCATGCGACATCGTCTGCAGCACACGCCTCGGTGGGCTGCTCCTCCTCCTCCCCATCAACGTCGTCCTTCGCCGCGGGCAGAGCATATCGATCCGTAGCAGCAGACGCATCCCCACAACCAGGCGTTCCCTCCACGCATGATTCCTCTCCGTCACGCTGCAAGCCCCCGTCCTGCTCCCCGCCCTGTGCAGCAACTACCGCCAGGGCCAAGAAGCCCGCCACCACCGCCACCACCCATCGTCGTCGCTGCATCGCTGATGACGAGGTTGGAGAAGTAAATTACTTCTCGCTGTGGTCATGGACGATTTTAGCCGGTATTCCCGGTGTGTCTGACATCTGATACGAGCACGCGAGCAACCAAGCATGCATGCAATTGTTTGCATGCATGCAGCTCTCTCTTCTCTCTCTCTTCTCTCTCCCTTCTCTCTCCCTTCTCTCTCCCTTCTCTCTCCCTTCTCTTCTCACTTGAACGCGTGGGCGTGGGCGTGGGCGTGTGGGGGTCTCTGTCTGCCGGGTGCGGGGCAACCAGCGGCGTTGATCGGGGTGACCATGGTCCGTTGGTGCAGATGCCGTCCCATTTCCCCGAGGTGGTCGGTCGTGCTCTGTGAAAGTGGCTGGTGGTGTTGATGGTGAAGCGCATGTACATCACGTTCACAACATAGCCTGGAATGTCCTGCTGCCAGTTCGGCCTTGATCCTGTTCTGATAGTGTTGCCTCAGACCCTGAGCCGTATCGACGTTTCATCGGGGCAAAAAAGAGTCACGTTTTTGCCGCGAGTAAATGGCGTTGCCTGGTGACAAGCATCCTCTGCATCAAACGGCTTTGTGATTGATATCAGCATTATTGTCCGCGCCTGTCGAGTAGCCCTTGTGTGTGTCCGTGCCTCTGTGTGAGCGTTTTGCGTATGGGCTGTTGGTCCTTTCTTGGCAGCGCATTTCAGTGCATCTCGTTCGTTTCGCTCTCTGTGGACGCGACCAGGCAAGCGCTCGCACCTGCAAGGCGGGGATCTGACCAAGTTCTCAAAGAAACTGTAGATGAGATATTGGCTACTACAGTTACACACATGCGAGCAGCTACAACCGGCCTGCCCCAATCGCTCAAGCCAAGCCAACCATCATCTGACCCACATCGTCTTTGCCGGGTTGCAGACTGAGCGCCATGGCTCGGAACTGCCTTTGGCTCGGGACGTTGGCCCTCGCCCTGACCCCAATCCAGGGTCTTGTACCAGGTACTTGTTTCGATTTCCACAGCCCAGCATGCTCCACTTCAGATGGCACCACTTTGAGCCCTTCTACCCCGTTGACTGACGTCCGATGGGCTCCGATCAATGCTGAACTGTACATCACCGTTAGTTTGGAAGCGCTTCCCTGGCGGTGCACGCTACGAGTACGGCCTCGATCCCGTGGTACAGGATTGGGTGGAGGCTGGCCGCAGGTATCGCATGACACGTTTCATCCGGCGCACGCAGCGTACCTGCTTGCCAGTTGAACTCTGAGCCTCGGAGACACCGGGTTCGCTCCGTGCTTTGACCCTCACATGTGCATATCTGCATGCAGTTGCATCGAGCAAGGCGGTTCCCTTGCCTCGATTCACAGCCTGGCACAGAATGACTGGATCTTTCAAGCACTGCTAGACGGCGATGCGTCGGATATGGCCTGGCTAGGTGCGCCTTGTTCAGCCAAGACGTCCTCGCTTGGCTCCAACAGGCTCTTGTGGGACCAAACTGATCCTTCTCGCCTTGGTCTACCTATGCATTGCCAACAGGCGGCTACGACAATTTTGGTCCAGACATTTTGCCCACGGAAGACCGTGAATTCCACTGGCTCGATGGCTCGCCCTTTGACTTTTCCATCTGGCAAGTCTGGAGCCGCAACCCGCCCCGCCTCATTGATGATGCAAGCTGTCCCGTTGTATCAAAATCCAGTCTTCTCATGGCTTCAATTTCTCTTCCTCCCTTTCTCTCACAGGCTGACAAATCAGCCCAGCGAGGAGCGCCAAAATCGTCGACAGCCCGTCATTGCCATGGGTTCATCGCACGAGGTGCAAGGCCCGCGGCCAGACGAGGCAGTGTGCAATTTGCTCCAGCTCATGCGGTGTGTTTTTGTTTTTGTTTTTGTTTTTTCGCTGTGATTAGACTCACCCGCAAGGTGGCTGGAATGATCTTCCGCCTGGAGCCAACCGACGAGGCATCTGCCAGCGCGAACGTCAGTGATCCGCTCTGTCCGTTTAGGTCCGTGTCAAGCATTGTGCTACTATCAGTATCTGATACCGTATGTTGATTTGACGGGGCACCAGTGGAGTGCGTGGATGGCCAGCGGACCTATGTGGCGCGGTTTGCAGATGGACAGCGCTTTTCTACCTCGAGTCAAGGAGCCTCGCAACTCTTTCACACCTCAGATGTCACGCAAGACGAATGGTGCGCCTGTGCCCAACGGCTGGGCAGGCAGGGGTCCTTGTCATCTCATCGGAAAGAAAGGCGTCATCTTGATCCGTGCTCCTCGCTCATCTTTTGCCCTTTCATTCCTATCCAGTTTTGCCATGTGTGATGTGTTGGACCAATGTCTTGGCATCTATACCGATTGCCGCGATGGGGTGCGTAGCTTTGTTTCAGGCGGGCAGGACCAGGCTAGGCGCTGCTGTTAAAGAGTTTCACGACGAATGCACTCTTTGTTTGTAGGCATGCTCATCATTAAACCTCTGCGTGGGTTTGTCCTACCTGGGCGTGGAGGTGCGACCAAGCGCCACTATGCACCGATGATGGCACCGGTCCACTTGCATTACCTGTAGCCACGTCGTGCGTCCACCTTACCCTTGGCTGCATGGCCAAATTGCCTCTAGGCTCAGGTTGATACGGCACGCTACTCCTACTCATTTGTCAAAGTGGTATGTCAATATGGACGAGAGGGTGGTCGCGCCATCGCCCCCTCAACTATGGCTGGATTATGTGTTCCTGAACGCTGCTGGCCACTCTTCTCGGATAAGCTCATTCTTTTGACGATAACTAGGTGCCTGAATGCTGTCCTTTTGGAGGAGGGGAGCTGATTCCTTAGGAAGATGACGGCTTTTAACGCAAGCCCGTCTGTAGGGCGCGCGTGTGTGTCCCGTGTCTGTCTGTGTGATCGCTTCGTCGGGACTTCTGCAATGGCTGTCCAAGTGCCTCGCTGATGTGGGGATGCATTCGTTCAGATCGGCGCATGAGTTGGGTGTTGCAATTATTTTTCATCGGCAGCAGGCGCGTGGCTGCGCCTTGCGCCATGTAACTTTGTCACATAGTTGATCTATCTAGCAACCAGCTGCCGAGACGAGTTGAAGACTGGGACTGCGGTGCAGGCGAGGCAGTAGGGCCCGATTTACTTGCGACCCACGAGCTCCAACACTGTTTGGACCATGTTAGTAACATTGTCTTGCACGAGGTGGACGGCAGTGTTGGCCATAAAAGCAGGCGCGGTGACGATGCGGTTGGCTTGGTCAACGTGCACCTTGCTCTCGTCACCGACCACGTAGTCGGCGCCCATCTCCTTGCACGCGCCAGCAGCGCCTGCAAAGGGCCACTTGTCTGACTCGGTGTCACTGCCCATGGTCACCTCTCCCTTGAAAAGATTGGCCGCAATCACGGGAGCGATGCAGCAAAAGCCCATGGGCTTCTGCTCAGCATGAAACTTCTTCAAGATATCGGTCAGCTGTTGACGCATTCAGGGCCGCCAGAACCAGAAGGAGGAGGGAGCCAGTCGCAAGGACCCCGACACACCGAGATGATGGGCAGGCCGTCAAGATGAGTGAGCACGTGCATAGGAAAGATCAAAGAGCGAGGTCGGCAAGAGGTCACGGACCGTCGCATCAACCGTGCACGCGGCGCCCTCCACGGCAAAGTTGGAGAGGTTTTTGGCAGCTCCAAACCCTCCGGGCACAACCACGGCGTCAAAGTCTGCAACCTGCAGCTTGTCGAGAGCCTGAATGTTCCCTGTTTCGGCAGCGCAAGCGGGAAGCAGCCAGAAGCAGTATTCCTCAGCGATGAGTTTGAGGCATTCTGGCCGTGTGGCGAGTGGTAGTGGACAGCGCAAGTACAGACCACGAGCAATGCGAGCGGCTTCGACGAGGACGTTGCGGGATTCGTCCATCTCCTCGCCCGTCATGTGGTTGACAACGTGGTGCTGCTGCTTGTCTGGCGCAAAAATCTTGTAGTCGGCACCCTGACGAGACAGTGCGCCCATGGCGGCTGAAGCCTCGTGGACCTCAGTGCCATCGTAGACGCCCGAGCCTGAGAGCACCAACTGTCCACAGAGAGAGAGAGAGAGAGAGAGTTGGGGGGAGGGGAATGAGACAACAAGTATCAAGAAGACACCACACAGCTGGGACAAGCAATGACACGCACCGCAACCCGGGGAGCAGCGAGGCCCGACTGCGTCGAGAGCGCGCGCGCGCCAGCTGAAGCCACAACGCGAGCCATGGTCTAGAGGTACAAGCAATCAAGCTAGCAGCAGGATACGACCAATACACCCAATCAGCCCCACGCCACAGCTCACACCTTCCAGCTACACCGACATCTCAACGAACCGCGACCAAAGCAAAGGAAGCGAAGCCTCTTTGCCAGGGGCGAGGGGAAAGGAAGGGGGCGGCGCACAGACGGAGCCCGAGCCACTGACTTGAGGAAGCGAGAGAGAGACGCCGACCGGGGTTGGAGGCCAAGGCGCTAAAAGTAAAATACTTCAAACATTTGCAATAAAGTAAAATACCTTTATAAAATTGCTGACATTGAAGGTTGTCAAAGTGTGTCCCTTGATGGACTGTACTACCCGATACAATGGCTCTACACCTGTTTTTGGCTTTAAACCGATACGAGAATTTGAATTGAAAATGCAACACGATACACAGTTGCGTTGCTTCAAAGTGTAACAAGGGGCACCACGCGGCAAGCCTAACACAAAGCAGACTTTGACACACGGTTAACTGTAGCAAAGTGTAGCCAGGACCATCGAACCCGCTGCAGTGTGTGGTTCCGTTGCATTTTAGCACGAAACGTGACGGTGAGCACACTCTCTCTTCCCTCTCGCCTCTCTCTGCTCTCTCCTCGCGCGCGCGCACAAACGTACACTTTGGCCCGCTTTCGGTGATGTCTTTCGAGTATTCGATGACAACGAGCGAGACTGCGCCGGTTTGTGCGATGAGATGAATCCATGGTTGACTGGTTGCTGTGAGCCCCTTTGACCCGCCTTGTGCCGCTTGGGGGTGAAACTCAAACGGCAGAGCGCGAGTGAGACAGAGCGAAAGAGGAAAGAGAGAGAAGACGGTATTAACGCTTCATGACATTATCTTGAGGGGACTTTTTCGCTGTTTTCTGATTTTGTTTCTCGACTTCTCGCTCGCTCGCTCTCTCTCTCTCTCTCTCTCTCTCTCTCTCTCTCTCTCTCTCTCTCTCTCTCTCTCTCTCTCTCTCTCTCTCTCTCTCTCTCTCTCTCTCTCTCTCTCTGTGCTTCTCTCACACTCCTCTGCATTCGCTCGCCGTTTGATCAACGGACAGAGGCTTGATCTACTTCGTTCAAACCGGAACCATGTCGCACGGTGGCACCCGCCCCAAGCGCGCCAAGATTCCCAAGGTGTGGTCTTGGATGACATGTGACCGCTTGGCTGTGCCATGATCTCGCTCACTCCGCCTCTGCTTGCCCGTAGGCTGACAACGAGGCCGAGGTGGAGGCCGACACAGATCCAGGACCCGCGTCCCAGGTCGACTTCAGCTCTATGGTTTACTCACAGCATGTGCCCATCGCCACAGTGGACACGGATGCCTATGGGGGCGGTCAAGGTGCTGGTGACAACTCCCCCGCCGTGGTGGAGCTGCGCGTCAACAGCGTGACGCCCCGCAAATTTTTCAGCCACATTACCCCAAAGTACGCGCAGGCGAGTCCAAACGGCGAACACCTGCCCGATTCAGCCAAAACCTACGTCCGCGAACACTGGCCCAACTTTGACCCCGAGAACCGATGGCAACACTTTATCACCTCGGGTCGTTCCTGCACGGAAAAGCCCAAGGTCGAAATGTTCTGCCAGTGCCTTCTCAGCCGCCCGTGCAACCGCGAGGAATTGGCTCAGTGGGTCCGCGAAAATGGCCCGTGCTTTGGTATCCGCTGCGGCGCCATCATGCGTGACCTCGCCGCCACCGAACTTCCCTGCGGGGACATTAACTGCTCTCTCTGCATGCGCGCCTGCTTCAAGCGCGTCTGCCCTCATTGCCACGAAATGACCTCCAGCAAACAGACGGCCCAAACTTGTGCGCGCTGCCACCAACACATTCAACCCAAGCGCCAGATCAAGCGCCTCAACAGCATCAAGGGTGACGACGCCAAATCCAAGGCCAAGCGTGCTGCCCAGCTCCAGCGCAAAATTAAAGACCTCATTGCACTTGGCTCGGCCATGAATATTCCCCTCCAGATTACGTACCTTGGTGCTGACGATAGCACCCCTCGCCAAGGCAAGCGCAGCTTTTGCTCCGACAAGAAGCAAAATCAAGCCCTTCTTTACCGTGGCATGGAACTGCCCCACCCCATGTATACCGGGTTTGAACCCCCGAGCATGCTCAACGAGCAACTCCTCGCCCATCACCTCATGACCCGAGGTCAACACGACGGCCAAGGCCACCCCATGCAGGCCAGTCAAGCGGGCCAGGGCCCTGATCAGGGTGCACAGGGTCAGCATGACCAATCACAGCTCATGCAGCCCAGCGTCTCTGCCGCCTCCCAACAGGGCGCCCAATCAGTGGCCATCGGCGATCTGGCCTCGGTCGCCGCTCAGCATGCCGCCAATCAAGTCGTCGGTGAGGTACAGACCCCCCTCCCGTCTTTGCCTTCCAACATGATGGCTGGCATCCCCGCCAGCATGGCTCCAGCAAACATGGGCATGGCCGGCATGGCCGTCATGGGTGCCGACTCGCAAGCCGCCATGGCCGCCCTCAACATGCCCACCAAAATGCCTGCCATCCACGTCGATGGCGAAGAACTTCCCATTCTTCACGTTCTGTACGTTGCATGACCCGAAATTCTTTTCGACCAATGTTTCCCTCCCTCTTCCACCCCCTGTGCGACCTTTGCGCTCTGATGCCATGACCTCTACCCTTCCACTCACGCTTGACCGTCTATAACTCTGTATCATCAACTTTAGGGGCACAAACGCGAGCGTTGGCATCTTCAACATGGGCATTTCCGCCTCCAACAATGCCCTCATCCCCGAAGAGCAGGTGGCTGTTCAAGCCTTTTCGGCTGGTCCAAACGATCCCCTCCTGGTAGGCCCTTGCCCAGTGCTTCTCGATCATGTTCCATTTGAAGGTGCCTGGGTGCCGTTTCGGCTTGTCTTTTTCTTTTTCTTTTTCTTTTTCTTTTTCTTTTTCTTTTTCTTTTTCTTTTTCTTTTTCTTTTTTTGGGTGCGCATTGGTGCATGCTCACCTGACATTGGTTCTTGGTGCATGATCAGCGCGCTCGATTCGACCTCTTGATGGCTTTGCAGAAGATCCACCTCCTCTGCGGCCCCCACGCCACCGTGCGTCGGCACCAGAGCGTGACACGAACTGGCCGTCAACAACCCGTCTTGGACCCCCTCTGGAAGACACAGTAGGAGGTTATCCTTGGCATTAGCACGGCTCACAACCATGTTTGAGTCGGCCTGGGACTGCCCGGAGTTGGCGCGCCTCGTCATGAGTCGGCCTGGGACTGCCCGGAGTTGGCGCGCCTCGTCATGAGTCGGCCTGGGACTGCCCGGAGTTGATGAGGCGCGCCTCTTTTCGATGTAACTGACCCTTTTCCTTTGAAATGTTTTTTTCATTCCTTCTCTCCCCTCCTTTTCTTCCTCCCGTGTGCCATTCCCCTATCGATGCATTGTCGGGCTTCTGGATGGCCGATGCATTTTTATGTGGTTTTCCCCTGTTTCAGTTTGCCGTGCGTCTTTTTTCAGTGTGCTTTGGTCTGCTCGGTTGAGTTTTGGGAACGATGGCGTCATCAGTGTGCTGGGACTGGCTCCCGAATTAATGTGACATCCCACCTCCAATCACACGCACTCGCACGTCGATTACCAAGCCTTGCAGTTATTCGTTGACTATTGTCATGGCCAACGATTTTTGGGCTCAGCCCAAGACAAACAGAGAAGGACGGGTCATCAATCGTTCACGCCAAGCAAGATCAGCTTAGCACGTCACGGCCACCAGACTCAACTGGCTGGAGTGAGAGCTTTCTGCCATGGCCTAATCACACACACGCAAAGATCAAAGGCCTGATGAGGAAACGAAGCCATGCCCTGTGTTCTCATTACTTGCCCAACACACGCTCCTCGTTGAACACACGCGCGCACGAGTAAAAAGAGTGAAGAGGCTGACCTTCAAAATCAACAAGAGAACATCTCGTGGCAGCTTATCAAAATAACCTGCGTCGTCCAGTGCCTCAAAGTGATGGACACAGGTCTAGTCACGCAAAAGATAATCATCGTGGTCAGGATTCTTCTGGGCCCCCAAAATTCAGGAGAGGACAGCCAAAGACTGTGGAATACAGCAAGCCAGGACCCACCGCAAGTGCACGTTGGATCATGACGACATCGTTGAGGCGGTGTGCTGCAAGCAGAATATTCACGGCATCGTTCTCATCAAAGGATACCTGCATTTGCCGCCGGCAGATTTGCTGGAAGAGCCGATGCAACGCTCATGAGAAAGCTCAAGAGGAGACATGCTCGTGGGCAAAAAATGGAGAATTTGACCCATGCATACCGAGAGGCGAGCGTTGGTCATGCCAAAGTACAAGTGGGCTTCCTGTAGCTGCAGTGCGTGCTGTACAGATGCCAGCCAACAGATTGAGGGCATGCTCAAGCCGAGCCATCCGAATGCACTTGCCCTGCCACCTGAATGTACACTCACCTCAACCGGCATGGTCGTCACATCAGCATAAATGTACCGCAGCAACGAGGTCAAAACGGGCGGTGGCAATATCGCATCTCCCAGGATGGCTTCTGTGTGCCTTGAATCCACATTTTGGAGACCTGTGTTGGGCATGAGCCACAGCGCTGAATTGTGAAGGCAAAACGTGCTACCTCATCGGTTGTAGCCCTTTTCACCTGACTGCACTCTCGGCCCAATGCCCACGTACCGGAACAGAAGACGCCGTGAAAGTATTGGCAGCGAGCTGCCAGGATGGCACGGTGCAGTGGCACGTGGAACTGACCGGCTGCCACCAATTGGCAGTCTGCAAGACCACCCACAACATCGATGGCCTCATCGGCGGGTAGCAAATCGGACACCCGACTGCTTCCCTGTGAAGTCCCATCTTGAGTGCTGCCTACATCTGCTGATGTAGCGGTGCCCACAGAGGGCGTGCTTGCCTCCACGGCTTCTCCTTGGCGCAGGCACCATTCCACTACACGATACAAATCCAGTTCAAGGGCATGAAATCGAAGCGAATGGCTTCCAGAACGCAAGGCTCTTTCCAGCGGTGGTGCAGTAGCTGGGTCATCAGATGCGGTGTATGTAGTCCCCTCCACGGGTCCTCCGCGGCTTGTTGATCCGCGACGACTGGATTCGTGACGACGAACGAGGAAGACAATCAGATCTCGATCCAGCGTCGCAAACTCATCACTCTGTACCATTTTTTGGAAGCGTCGTGGCTGGCAGGCCTCGGCAGCAAAGAGAGCAAGAAGATCCTGCAAACGATGCTCATGGAGCAACGCCAAAAGCGCCAGCAGCAGGTCTGTGCGCGCCACTGCCGTCAGATACTCAACGGCGTCTGCCATGAAGCGGTGCAGCTTGTACCAACGCGCACACGCATACAGTAGAACTACATGTTTGAGGGCCGCTCGGGGCGGCAAATGCAGAAAGCTCGGTGGTAAGCGGTCTGAATAACACAGGTGCAGTATGGACTGCAACGTATCGCCGTTTGAAAGCTCGCGAAGCACCAAACGGCGCCGAGGAAGTGCCTGACCAGGCTTGCTAGGGTTTGGCTCGGGCAGGGCTGCAATGCGCTGGGCTAAGACCGACGAGCGGGCCGCCAGAACGACGGCATGGGCCGGCACGACGGTGTCTGCTGCAACCACATCTATGTCAGCGAGAGTGGCCGAGTGCCAGAGGGCCAAGAGATCCGTGGCCAGGGTGCTTCGTTCGGTAATGGTCAAGTCGAAGCGAAACATCTCGTTTGAAATTTCATCGGCCTTGAGATCGATGGTCCCGCCGAAAACGAACAGGGAGCGATCCAGAACAGCACCAGCGGCAAAACTGCGAGGAGAGGGGGCATCATTGCCCACTTGTCGAGCCACTTGTGCCCACACGTTGGCCTCGATGTGGTAACAGTGCACGGTGTTGCAAGGACGGCCGTCAGCGACGCCACCAAAGACCCAGAGGCGGGCATGGCCATCATAGTGCAAAATGTGTCCAAAGCGGGCTGGAGGTGGTTCGTGACCCCCCACCAAGCGGGGAAGGCCGGTCAATTCCGACCAAGTCGCCGTTGGAAGGTGGCACCGGAAGAGGCGGTTGGACATGTCCTTGCCGCTCATGCCAGAAAACATGTAGCAAAAGTCACCCACGCAAGCAGCGGGAGAATTGCAAAAGGCGGCTGGGAGTGTGCCGTGCTGTTGCACGCATTCCCATCGTGGCGCTAGATCCGAAAGACAGATTCGCCACATGTCGTTTAGCAGTCGCGTCCCGTTGAAACCGCCAAATATGTAAAGGTAATCTGAGCGAGGCGAGGGGGTGGACCGCGGGACCGAACCATAAAAATGAGATGCTGCTTCGTAGCTGATGCGTGACTGGTTCGTACCTTCCCCTCCGCCTTGCAAAAAGAAAAAAGAAAAACGAGGATGACAAAAACCAAGGCACTCACCGTTGTGTATGCATGAGGAATGGCCGGCGCGTCCGCAGGGGACCTCATCCTCGGCTTGGGGTGGGGCTGCCGCTTGGTAGGCGGGCACGGGCGCGGGCAAGGCAGCCAAGCTCAAGGCCGTGGCTGCTGAGGCTAGATCTGGATGCCAAGGCGGTGAGGTGCCGAGTGGGACGGCCTGCGTCGGATTTGAGCCCCAGGGCGGTGAGCGGTGTCCGGGCGCTGAGGCATCATCCTCGCCGGCCACGCGACGTGCAGTGAGAAGGCGTGCAGCGCGCGTTTCTCGAAAAGATCGGTGCAAGTTGAGGCGAGAGTTGACACTGATGGGGTTTGACACGCCAGAGCCCCCATGTGTTGCCGGCGCGGCTGCGGTCGCAGTTGCGACCGATGCGGCACCGAGTGCGCCGCCAAGCTCCGAATCCGGAGGCGGGGACACGCTGCCGGGATGGACGAGGCGCCAGCTGCCTTTGTCGGCTCGATACTCATAAAGGTCGTTGCAATTGCGAAAGTTGGAGTTGGCAGCGATATTACCCGTATACCCACCAAAAACCTGGTGGAGTTGGGCACGGCCCACCCATGCAAATGCCAATGCTAGGTCAGGAGGCGGTGTGGCCCAGAGGTGGGGGCGTGCGAGTAGGTCGGGTGGACGGCTTACGTAAAGGCTGCGCTCGAGCACGTCGCAGCTATGATGGGTTCGAGGGGAGGGCCGAATGCCCTTGGTTGTCATGCAAACACTCCAGCTGAGCCGGAGGTCGAGCGACACGCACGGGTAGGGGTGAGGGGCGGCTGGGGCACCTGAGCTAGGGGCGAGGGACAAGTCCATGTGACCTGGCCCTTTGGCCATTGGTCGGTGACTGGTGTCTTACCTGCAGTCACGAGTGTCAAATCGGATAACGTCATTGCTCATACGGGTGCCCAGGTGGCCACCAAAGACGAAGATGCCGTCATCAATGGCCACGGCCGTGTGCTTGGTACGCGCCCCGCCCACAAATTCCTGACAAGGGTCGAACCGATGCCAAAGGTGCTCATTGAAGCTGTGATTCGACGCCATGGCATCCGAGACCCATTCCAAGACCACCCGTCCCCCACTCCATCAACAACCACTTGAGCCACCAGCGAGGTCACCCAACCCCACCCCACACTCACACACGCCCGATCACCAACGCCCCTGCCGCGCTCCTTCAACGCGCAACGCGGTCCACACATTGACCACCAAAAAGGGAAGGAATGTTGTTGTTGTTGTTGTTGTTGTTGCAAATAATGTCTGACAACTTGGCTCGGGAGAGTTTCTGCATGACATTGTGTGTCGGGGTATCGGGTGTGTCTGTCCCTGAGTCTGTGTCTGTGTCTGAGTCTGTGTCTGGACCTGAGTTTGAGTCTGTGCCTGAGTCTGTCTGTGTCTATACCTGAGTCTGTACCTGAGTCTGTCTGTCTGTCTGTCTGTGAGTGTGTAAAGTTGAATAGGGAGATCATTGGTGGGCATGCCGTGCGCTTCGCCCGATGTTTCAAAGTCTGGCATCCAAATGGAAACTTGGCTGGTTTGGTTCACAGAACACTCAATTTCGATTCTCTGATGTGTGATGGTTTGTTATAAACACCTCCAGGTGCAGAGAGGCAAAGCGGACGACAGGGACAGGACAAGGGTGGCTGGCACCCAAAGGGTTCATTTAATCGTTGTATTGCTTCTCCACCATGTTCAAATCTTCCGAGCGGAAGACGCCGTCGGTGCGGATGTTCTTGTCACCTTGAGACAGGTTATCGTGGACATGGGGCATGCGCTCTGTGTTATCGCCGTGCTCCTCAGCCTCGTAACGACGCACGCCATCCTCGATCATCTCCTTCTCATCACCCCAGCCTACATAAAAGAGTCAATTCAAAATGCACAAGGATCAGCGCAATGAATGGGTCAAGTCAAAGTGTGGCACATGGTACGATGGTGCGGCACACCAAAGCCGTAAACATACCAGCATGGCCACCCTTGCGACCAGTGTGGGTGTGGGTGATACCGCGGTGGTCCTTGCCGTCATGGGGCTTCTTCTGCTTGTAGTCGAGGCCGCTGCCAACGTCGTAAGCGCCGTCACGATGAGCCATGATGAAGATGAAAAAAAGATAAGAGTAGTTCACAATATGATCAAGCAAATTGCTGAATTCACTGCTGTTGCTGATTGATAGTTGAGTCCAGTCAAGTGGTTGAGAAAATGCCACTCCACCGCGCCGGGTTCCACTTGTAGACGAGCTCGACGCGCGCGACCTAAACGCAGCCGGGATGTGCATTGGAGCACACGCCAGCATCACCTTGATGCCCAAGGAGGCGTTGATGTCCATTTCTCATGCATCGGCTCCAATCCGGCCACACCAAGCCCTCATTAGCCTTCCATCACCTTCCGGCTGGCGAATCAGGACACCGCTCTACACAAAGCCAGCAGCGTATGACATGCGAAAGCTCCATCAGCCCGAAATGATCGGTCATGCATCTCATCTCGCCCTTCTGTGGCCACCATGACTCGACTTCTTCAAGCCCCTCCGGTCCAGCGGACACGGCTCAGCTCGTACCATTCGATCAATCAGTGGTGATGATCACGCTCACACACACACACACACACACACACACACACACACACACACAGCTCCAAGATCACGTCCGCTGTTTTACAAGCAATTGCAACATCCATATTGTCAGCATGGACCTGCTGGCGCTGACAATGTTTTAAACTACTGTTGTGAATTATCAACTTTCCGTTCCTTCCCAACAACATTTTGAACGATTTTTCTGCTGCTGCTGCTGCTGCTGCTGCTGCTGCTGCTGCTGCTGCTACTGGGGCTGGAGGCGCTGCTACTGCTGCTGGTGCCGCTGCTGCTGGTGCCGCTGCTGCTACTGCTGCTGCTGCTACTGGGGCTGGAGGCGCTGCTACTGCTGCTGGTGCCGCTGCTGCTGGTGCCGCTGCTGCTACTGCTGCTGCTGCTACTGGGGCTGGAGGCGCTCGCGATTTTTTGAGCCCGATTCTGTCATTCGTTATATCTTTGCCACAGGTTGGACGGGAGGTTGATTTGTTGTTGATCTACTCGAGGTGTCGCAAGCCACCATGACGCTCTTTCAAGCAAGGTGTGTGCCCTCTTCGCGATCCGCACCCAGACGGTCGAGTTGGCAGGACACGTTCAAACGTTCTTTTCCCTCTACCCCGTTGCTTGCTCTTCATTGGCGTAGGGAGTGGTGGTCTACGGTTGTGGCAGAGCCAGAAAGTCTCAGCCAAGCGTGCATGGTCGTGGACAACCTTGATAACGCTGCCGATCGCGCTGGTGCGATTCCTGTGCTCGCATGCCAACGAGTCTCGCCGACGCATGCACGCCACCGATGTATCTTATGCTTGATAATCAATTCGCCCCGCAGATAAAATTGCCGTAGCGTCCTATGCTGGCACCCTACACGTGTATGCGCCTTCAGGCCAAGGCGCTGACCCCGAACACGACAAGCGTCTTGAACGTGACCTAGGCATTCCCATCCTGCAACTCCAAGTGGCAGATGTCTCTGGTGATAACCTCAACAATCTCGTGGTCCTCCACCCCCGTGAGGTTGTTGTCTACCAAGTGCAGTCTGACAGCAGTGGCGGTCTTCAACTTGAACAAGTCTACCGCCACCATCTGAAGCGAACCGCAGCCAATATGGTCATCGGCCACTTTGGCCAGAGTGGTGCGTGCCCAACCGCTGGCCCCTGCATGCATCCCTCCCCATAAAGCCGCCGCATAAATTTGTCCCACCATCTCATCATCCTGGATGTATCCCCCACCCCCCCCTGCTTTGCTTTCCCCTGTGTCAGAAATTGCCATGATATGCATCCAGTCCATGGACGGCGCCCTGACATTCTTTAAAAAGGTCTGCTCCGGGATCTGCTGGCCCTATCCCACGCAAACTGACATCTTGTTTGAGCCCTAGTCTTGCTCATTGCGCCGTCTCTTCCATCCTAACTCGACGTGATAGAACCGAGAGATGCTCGTTCGCTACCTGCCCGATTTTCTTTTGCCGGGCCCTTTGGACTATGTGGCCGAGGACGACCTCCTTGTCACGGCCAACAGCTCGTGGCACATCAAAGCCTATAAATTTAGATCCATGGCCGCCGTCTCGGAGGAGAGTAGCTCCCAACAGCAGCAAGCTAGCAACCAGGTCTCGGCTGAACAGAGTACCAAGACTGGCAAAAAAATCACGGTGCGGCAACCCCAACCTGCCGCGCGCCCCGCGACCTTTTACAACTTTGACTTCTTGCTGCGTCAAGGTTTCATGATTGCCATTCTGCGCACTATCGCAGGAGGAATTTTCGTTCAACTTGGGTGAAGAAACCATGGCCATCTCTCACGTCAAGGTTCAGGACCAATCACGGCTCGTCGTGTTAGGTGGGTTCTGACTTGCAGCTCAAAAAATGTACCAGTCTATGCGCCTCTTTGCCCTCTCATTCTTTCTCCAACAGGTGCGACTTCAATGTATTACCTGAACATGGCCGGCGAGCTTTTGTCGTGCAAACGTTTTGAAGCCAACTGCAATTGCCTGGCGACCTACCGCGTCGGTGCGTTGGGGCTTGGAATTTGTACACTGCACATGGGTTCATGCAAATGAGCTGGCGGCCCGTTTGATGATTGGAGCTGACTTTGTTCTCTTGAAATAGTTGATCAGCAAATCAACCTTCTCTTGGGCTGTGATGATGGCATTCTACGTGTCCTGCGTGATAAGACTGTCATCTGGGCAGCGGGTGGTGTATCCCAACCGCTGGCTTTATCCACTTTTGACTCGCCGTACGTGTTTGCCGGCATCCCTTACAAAGCATGACCCCCCTACCCACCCACCCTGCGCACTTGTCTTGCATTCCTCTTCTGCCTTTGTGACCAGAATGTCTTGTCAACTGCCCTCCCAGATCCTTGCCTGGCTTGATTGCCATTGTATCAGCTGAAGGCCATTTGACCCTGTACTATCTCGGCACCGACCCGTCGCTTCCGCAACTGACCCAGCCTTCTCGCCCCATGAACCACGAGGTACGTTTTT